CTTCTGCCATACTTAGGGGCACTCTTTTATTCCTTCTCCACTGCCCTGCTCCTGAGAAATAACTCAGTTTGATTCAACGTACTTCCCTTTCCTGTGGCTGCTGGATTTTAAGACAAAGCTTCCAGAATACTAGAGTTTGGAGACCAGGACTGGAGGGGTGGCTGGGTTGTGAGGACGGCCGGTGTTTTGGCCTGGCCTCTTGGGGTCAACAAAGATCCAGGATTCAAGAGAACCTTTCCTACAGGATCCTACATCTTTGGTAGTCACTCAACCTCTTGAGCAGGGAGACTGCTGGGCACCAGAGGGCAAATGCACCATGTGCCAAAGGAGGGTCACAAAGGGAAAAATCTTCCACGCTTTCACTGAAAGCAACATGGTCAAGCAAGGCTGTGACCCATCCTGATGGCTGACACTGTCAGAGGAGCTGAGAAGCTCTATGCATGGTTCCAAAGTAATGCCTGAGAAAACTTAACTGACCTTGATAGATAGCAAGAAGTTCATACTGATTTGACACAGGTCTCACTTTGACTTGGTCTTAAAACACCCAACAGAAAAGAATAACCAAATGAGGTATAAAATAATGCTATAGTAATAAAGCTAGATATTAAAAGGTCACTGTCCCCTTCTGGTAGTTTCCAGCTACACCAGTGGCTGACCATGGTTATGGATCATTAGGAAAAACTATGGTACAATCTATAAGAGCTCAGCAAGAGTTTTATATTTCTTAGTGAAAGTTCTTCAAATTGTCTCTTCGTACAGCTAAAACTAGAGACTTATGACAAAGTATTAGACTTACAGATAACCTCTATCAGTGAAAGAATCTAAGAGCCAGCAGGTTACAATCACTTTCAATTTCCAAGTGTGATTTTCTCCCCAACCTGCCCTCTCATTCTAGTGTGCTCATGCTTAGATTATACATGCTCTAATTTCTTAAAAATTTTGTTTATTCTTGCTTAGAGGCTGCTAAACTGCAGGCAGTCATACAAATGGAACCAATGACAAATGTGCTACAATTCTTTTACCAGGATCCACCAGATCGACCTTGTAAACAGCTCTTAACTGCTAAACTATACAACACGACTTCTATGTTGGGATTCTGAGTCCCCTGCACCTTCTCCTTCTCCTCTTTGTGGGAGGCTATTACTAGTTCCCCCTAGTGGAAACCCTGGTTGGCTATATTCATAGCAATCCTGCTGACTTTATAATTTGGTCCATGTATTAACTGTTTCTTTGGCTTTGTCTCTTCCACACTCAAGGCTGTGCAGCTACCAAGATGACAATGCCTGGCACCTATCGAGGGCCTTTAGATAGACTCTCTGGAGAGTAACTCTAACTGCTGATCACAACTATCACCCTCTTCAGCTACTTTCAGCCAGAACAGTCTTCGCCCTTTGCCCCCTTGAAACAGTTGGGCGTACTTCTTCAGAGCGGGAAATACTGCAGATAGGTAACTTAATTAGATATCTTGTAGGCAGGTAGACAGGGCCAGGAGGAGCCAACAGGAAGGACAATCAGGACACATTCGCTGAAAGCTAGAATTGTAAAAGGAGAGAAACCACACACCCTTGTGCGTCCCCAGGGGATAGAGAGCAGTGACTGATATTCTAAATAGGTATCAATCACCTGGATGGGGGGGGGGGGTCAACCCAGCCTCTCCAGGAAATATCCCTGACCCCCACCCTTACTGAAAATCTTTGTATGCTTGCTACGTGACTTGCTCCCCAATTTGACCCCCATTTAATCACTACTGCCTGGGTGACTGTACTTGTAATCTTATTGGTCATGGTTTTGTCCCATCTCATATCTGCCTTGTGGATTTCCATTGGGTCTTACAGTTTTGTCCCACTTTGTATCCGTCTCACCACATGGCTTTGCTGTATGGAACATCTTTGAAGAGTGGGGTGGGCGGGCAACCCACTTTCTGGTCACCCTTCTGTCTCTCTTGGGCAGAGGCTTTCTTTCTCTAAAAAGTTTTTTCCTACTCTTAAAAAAAAAACTAAGGTATATTAAAACAAAAAATTAGCTTACAAAAGGAAAGAGACTGACATCAAACTTCTCAATAGCAAAATATATGGAAAAGGAACACAGAGCAGTATTTTCAAGAAACTAGAAAAAAACATAACAAAGAAGGACTTTATACCCATGAAACAATCTTAAATATGCAAGAACTCAGGAATACTGTATCCACAAATCCGCTAGAGAAAATACTTTATCCATCTCAGAGAAGACTGAGGAAATTTCAGCAGTTGGTTAAAAATGAAAATATAAAATGGAACATCTAAAATAGGAATGAAGGTAGGAATAAATGTAGAACATATAAATGTTACATATTCTGAAACAGAATAAAGAATGCAACTAAAAAAGGAGAGAAGGGAGATGAAAGTAGACAAGAATATTTTAAATGATTGTCATGTAGCTTCTATAGGTATGAAGAAGACTATACCATTAAAAGATGACAAACCAGTTAGTAAATAACTAAAAAAATGGGTACCTAAGGGCATTATAAAGGAATAAGTACAAAGATAATCAACTACTAAACAGAAACATAAATCTTCCCAAATAAGTTTTAAAATGAGACTGAAAACCCCCATATCACTAGATACAGAAACATAGTTATAGAATATAAAATGAATAGCAATCATAAAATAGTTACAAATTTAACATGAACAAAGTTGTGAAAGAATTTAAATTGCCTATTTAAATAAAGAAGGGGTTGCAATCCTGAGATCAAAAAAGAACTCAAGCCAAGAAAGTATTACATGTGACAAAGGAGGACACTTTTAAATGCTCTAACCCATACTAGTTAAGAATTCTGTACAACATATAACAGATCAATCATCTTTACAAAGCAAAAATGATACCACTTGCAAAGAGATACAAACACACACTAAAACATATGAGGGTTTTTGTTTTGTTTTTTGAGAATTTGCAGCAATCCTCCTGCCCTGGCTTCCTGAGTGCTGGGATTGCAGGCATGGGCCACCATGCCCAGCTAAATGTATGAGATTTTAATACTGTAGCTCCAGTAAAAGACAAATCTACTGGAAAACTAAAATGAGTCAGATATATGATTCTCAAATATGATGAAGTAAATATAAACATATGTAATGTACATAAATATATGTAATATATATAAAGTAATGTTGAACTCTTAAAAATACAACAAAAATGAAAGCATGAAGATAAATGAAAGTTTATTATAAAGGAAAAAAATGATAAAACCATAAATTAAAGCAGTAAAAAATGAGTTAATCCAGTTAATCAAAATTAAATACTCAAAAACAAAACAAAACAAAACCTGGAGGGAGAAAGTAAAATATTCAACTTGGTAATGACAGAAAAAAACTGTAAAATAGAAGAAATTTTTAAAAATCACATGCAACTTCCTTTCAAACCTCTACAGAAATTTATTTGAAAAACCTAGATGAAACTGATGGTTTCCAAGGAAAATAGTTTTCCAAAAATGGTCCAATGAGAAAGACATTTTTATTATGCCAGAAAGAAAACACTCAAAAATTACGGTAATGGGTTAAAGGGACATGGAAATTAGCTTAAAGATGTTACCATTGGCCTTTGAAGTTCATTATACACAAAAAGACAGTAACAGATTAAATTAAAATCCACTGGCCCACTATTAGTAAATGAAAATGAAGGGAAAGGTACTCCTTACAGTAAAAGGACCACTAATAAATGCAGAAGAGATGATAAAGAAGCTAGAAAACTGCCATTTGGCACTATCATATTAACAACTGATTTACACCAGAATCATCAATGGATGTTGAAAGTAGCAGGTGAAAGTTTAATGAGGAAAACATCTATAAAATAAAAAAGAACACGGGAGTCGGGGATTTAGCTCAGTGGTTCCGCCGCCTGCCTTGCAAGCACAAGGACCAGAGTTTGATCCCCGGTACCAAAAAAATAAAAATAAATAAATACATAAATAAAAATAAAAAAGAACACAGGTATAAGACCACGTTTAACCTTGCATCATTATCTCCCATTCATAATGCAAAATGATCTTATTAACTTCTACAAAACTTCCAAAACTAAAAACCACAATATTTATTCTTAAAATTTCAACAAAGCAATTTAAATATTTTTATTAGTATACATTTGCAATACATCATAGTTACATTTATTTTGGGGGACTGGTATATGGTTACAGCAAATCCTGATTTTTTTTTTTATCCCCTTACCCCCATTCCCTATTCTCCCTCCTCGCCCCAAACCCGACCTTCTTCTCCATCTCCACCAAGTCTGCCTTTCTGTAAGTATTTGAAAATAAGTACTGGCTTTTAGAATTTACAAACCATGAGTCTAGAATGTAAGCAACAAAAATTTCAGACAATATTAATTTAACAGGCATTTTTCAAGATGTAATTATGCTTAAAACAATGAGGTCAAGTCATATTCCTAGATTTAACTTACATAAAATATATTAATGAAAAGCCTATTTATAGACTTGCATAATCTACAGCTGAGAGAAAGAAATGGTAAATTTTGTTAGGTCATTATTAAATAGGAAACAATGGAAATAAGCCACAAGAAAAAGAAAAAATGTGTATTTTCTAACTAAGGAAAACTATGCAAGTCATATCCTAACATGATGAATACTATAACAAGATTTATAATAAAAAAATTAAATGCCTAAGAAACCATAAAGTCAAATTTTGATCAAATTCTAGCTTAATACCATCATTTGAACAATGTTATCACAGTGTTTTTCTCTTTTTTTAAACTTTAAAACTTTTTTAAAGCTTTTACCTAACAAAAATCCCCAAATGGAATAAAATTGAATTTTCCAGGTTGAAACAACAGTGAAGTATCTAGAAAGTGTAGTCATCAACATTTCTTCATTCCAGGTCTCTACTGAAAAATCTAGGCCTATAGAGTTCATACAACTAAACAACATTTCTTAAAAATCATTATAAAGTATTTTGAATTATAAGAAGATACCATGTAAATACCTTAGAAAAACAATGTTTTATCAATCCACTTACCTACATTCCACATACAGGCTTGTCATCTTGCAGTGACATTTTATCCTAAGCATCTGAAAACAAGGAGGACATTCTCCAGGGTGACATGGCAAAACACATGGATGAGGACATCCCAGTGGCTGTGATTTAGAGCACCCTTCTTCACAACGAAGGCATTCTGGGCCGGCCTGAAAAGTTGGATGGAATAAATAACCTCAGTACACAAGCCTAACATTTCTACATATTAAAATTATAAAAGTTAGATATCTCATTAAGATGATGTAATAAAATGGTACATGCTCCCATTCAACTTAAAAATACTCAAGATGAAGAATATTAAGAATATCACTATACGGGCCAGGGATTTAGCTCAGTGGTTCCACCACCTGCCTTGCAAGCGCAAGGTCCTGCGTTTGATCCCCAGTACTAAAAAAAAAAAAAAGAGTAACACTATGACCATTATTCATACAGATTTTGTGCCTACAAGCCTTATCTTTAAAATTTAACTAGATGAAGTATCTCTACTAAAAAAACATAAATTACCTAAAAAAATATTCAGTGGCAGAAAAAGTAAAAAGTGAAACATTCTTGATTCATTTCCACCCAACAAGCACAATCATGACTGACCTAAAAAAAAAAAAAAATCACTAGGTATGGTGGCACACACCTGTAATCCCAGCTGCTCAGAGGGCAGAAGTAAGAGGATTATAAATTCAGGGCCAGCCTCAGCAACTATGCAAGATCATATCTCAAAATAAAATGGAAAAAAAGACTGGAAATGCAGCTCTTGGTAGAACACTTATCTGACATGCATGAGAACCTATGTTCAATCCCCAGTAATGCCAAAAAAAACCTTCACACTGTTAACACATAAATAATACAAATTAATAAACTAAAGTTGTATCCACAAATATACTTCAGTGTAACTTAACGGGGCACCTCTCTCTACTCTAGTGATTTGACAATGTAACTAGTATCAGCAATCTACCAAAGAACGTTAAAGATGTTTATTGCAAGATATTGTATTATTTATTTTCGCATGGAATACTTGAGCTAAAACATGTAAGAGAGCTATAGACATGGATACTAAGTGTTAAAGATTCAGCATTTTTATTATCATTCCTAAGTACAACCACTATTATAACAATCATTATATCCATAAAAGTCTAAGCTATTTGGCATTTAAGAATAAAAAGAAAAAGTCTTTCAAACTATAAAAAAAAAATCTATCAATAATTTTTATTTCTTTATGTTCAAAGAGTATATTCATCCATTGTACATTTACTCAGCATTTATCTTCCAGCCACCATTCCAAGAGCTAGGCATAGAGAAGAATAATCCCTGAAACTTACACATGGAAGTAAAGAACATAATATATGTCTTTGTAAGTACTGTAAGGAAAAGATAAAATGTCTTAAGAAAGTAGGATGGCAGAACAAGTGTAAAACCTGTCTGATCAAGTTCAGATTTCACTAGAAACTGAGTTAAATAAGTGAACACACCACAGGAATGTAGATTTATTGAATGCAGACATCCAGAGAGAAGGAACAGTAAGTGCAAAAGCTATGAGGTAACAAACAGAACATTCAAGAAGTAGCAGGAGCAGAAGTAGAAGTGGGTGAGCAAGAGAGAGAGGTGAGTAGTCAGAAGAGAGCTGGGAAAGGCAGTTAGACTTCAGAATGTTACAGAGCCTCACGGGCACCAGTTAAAGGTCTTTGGATTTTACTCTGAGAGTAACTGAAAGCTATTAAAGGGTTGTAAGAAGGGAGATATTACCTGACTTACATTTTTGAAAAGATGAATCTGGCTGATGTAGAAAACAGAAGTGGAAATGGAAGGTTAGTTGGAAAATACTATGAAAACGTAGGTAAGAGGTGATGGCGGCTGATATGAGGATATTAATAGAGGTTATGTGAAGTGATCAGATTCAGGATCTACTTTGAACATAAAGCTAACAGGACTTTTTACAGAACAAGAACAATGAAGATAAGAAATCAAGCATAATTCCTAAGCAACTGAGCAAAAACGACCTGTGCAACTGGGTAGAAATTGCAATACAACTTATTCAAATGGCAAAGACTAGCAAAGGAGTGGGCAATGAACCACAAAATATGCAAACATAACCAAAGTTAATACATACACACTTATTTCATTTGCTCTTCCCTGACTATGTGGTTATACCTACCTACAATAACCACTTAAGTAACATGAGCTATCAGACTGGGAGGTAAGAAATAAGGGACACTACTTGCTGGTTTACTACTCTATTTTATGATCACAGACAAGTCATTTGATAAAATTAAGTTTCAATTCTCCATGTACAAAACAAAAAATATACTTATGAGCTTATTCCAGCTATGAAAACCCCCCACTAAATTTATACATGTTAAACTATCTTTCTGGATTATTTTCAATATCAAATCCTATCTTTTAGAAAAGACTACCTTAATTGGGAACACAGCAAATCTGGTTATCAAGTATCTCATGTAGTTCTCATTAAACAAAAAAGAAAAAGTGAAATCTTAATCCATGAAGGAGTACTGGTACAATCTACAATAGTCAGACTTGAAAATGAGTTTCCCTGATTCATTTATGTTCTGGAAATCTAAGGAGGAAAGCCATAAAGCATTTATCTGCTAACTAGTTAAAGTACCTTTAATTCCTTTCATTATTTGCTAGATTAATTTTATAACTCCAATATTTTTTTCATTATATTATGTGTAAATTTTTATTGAAGGTCAAGGCATGGATCAATGAAGGAAGTACAAGTAAGATATTTACAGGTATAATTTGCACATAAACAAGAATGACACTCCATGCATTTATGTTGTGCATTACTATTACCAAGTAAAGGACTTAATAATGTAAGTAAAATTTTCAATAACAAACTCATATTAATTTAAACATCTATAAATTTAGTATTGCTTAATAATAAAATGAAGCTTAAAATGTCTGGTTTGTTCCTCATTAAGCTATTTGCTAATATTATTTATTAGATGAAAATCTAGGAAAAAAACATTATTTTAAAAATAAAGTTTAGTATTTAATATTTGATAGTTGCTTCCTGTAAAATTCCAAAATTTTTAGAGATTTCTGAAGTGCTGATTTCTCATGTGCTTTTAAAATGCTTTTAATGAATTATATATACATATGTATACCACACATATGGTATGCGGTGTTTATTTTCCAACAGGAGACTGAGAATCTATTAAAATTGTGAACATCATCTATCATGTGTCAGGTGTGAAAAATAGCTGAGAGTAAATGTTTTGACTAAACTCAGAGATATGGGAAGGAATAGAAGTGTCACTGTTACAATCTAAAAAGATTCATATTTTCTGAATTTTTGTCATAAAATCATAGCCCATGTATTAACACAGGTATAGTATGTAAAGAGTTCCACATTAAAAGGCACATTGCTACTACAAGGTGTCACAAAGATACAGAGCAACACATTCCAAGCTGTTCAAGTTGGGTGTTTCAAGAAAGAGAAGGAAGGAGAAGGAAGGAAGGCAAGGAAGAGACAATACACTAAAGCAAAATGAAAAAATATTTATGATCTAATTGTTGAAAAAAATATTTTAAGCATACTGTCTGCATAAATACACTCAATGTAAGGACAGTACCTTGTTTCTACTAGTGCAGCCATCAACTTCAGTTACTTTGTGGCATTCTTTCAAACATGTATGATTCTGACAATCTAAGATTCTTCCACAAACTCTCTTACAGGAGTAGGGCCCTACAGCATGGCATGGTAGTGGACTCACCTTTAAAAAAACAGGAAATTAGTGTAAGACACACACACACACCCATCTGGACTTCTGTTTGCAAAATGTATCTGCTATCATTTTAGAACAAATTTCACAAAGGTCTAAAATGCTTTCATTAATAATAACATTTATTACCAAAACCAAAATAACCTATCAAAAAGTTCCCCAAAAATTACATGACAGGGCCAGGGATTTAGCTCAGTGGTCCCACCGCCTGCCTCACAAGCACAAGGTCCTTAGTTCAATCCCCAGTACCAAAAAAAACATGACAAGAAGCAAAACATTATACTCCTAAAAGAGAAATTTAATATGACAAATACATATAATGAATAGAGATAATTCTCAAATAAAAACATAGTAATGTTTTTACATTAGTAGACAATCGTTTGTACTCTTTGTAACACTGAAATACAATATTGAAACTTTATTTCCAACAACTCTAATATAGAACAGGTATAGAATATGAACATTAAAAATTATGTCTATAAGAGCTCACCTCATGCTTCCCAAGACATTCCCTACAAAGAAAAAATGAAATGAAAACATTTTAGTTGCTTCACAAATAGTATCAAAAGCAAAAATGCTAACTGAATTTTACTAAAAACTAAAATTATATATGTAAATAAATGACTACAGTAATGTTACAGGATACAAAGTTAACAGACATAGGAAAATTCTTTCCTCTATACTAAAAATGAACAATTAGAATTTTAAATTATAAACATAACACTTTTATACTAAAATACAAAAAAACAAAATATCAGGTATAAATCTAATAAATATAAAATCAATATTAGAAAAAGCATAAGATGTTTATGAAAGAAATCAAAATTTAAACAAATGGAGGGGCTGGGGATTTAGCTCAGTAGTGCTGCTGCCTGCCTCTCAAGCGGAAGGTCCCAAGTTCGATCCCCAGTACAAAAAAATTAAAAAATGGAGAGAGATTAAATGTTCATTGATAGGAAGGCCAATATTGCTAAGATGTTACTTCTCCCCAATTTCATCTAGATTTAACACAATTTCAATTAAAATCCCAGTAAGTTAATTTGTAGGTAACAACCAGATTCTAAGGTCTACATAGAACAACAAACTCCAAACAGCCAACACAATACTGAAGAACAAAGTCAGAGGACTGACACTACCTGACTTCAAACTATAAAGCTATAGTGATTAAGAGACTGTGGTATTGGTGAAAGAACAGAAAAACAAACGAATGGAACAAAATAGCCTAGATATAGACTTACACAAATATAGTCTATTGATCTTGCACAAAAAGGCAAAAGCAAGTGACTACAGAAAAGATGCTTTAACAAATGGCTAGTGCTAGAATAAATGGGCATTCACTTATAAGAAATCTGGACAGACTTTCTAATAGTTAACTCAAAAAAGATCTACAGAACTAAAAGTAAAATACAAAACTATAAAACACAGAATATCTAGATGGTTTTGGGTTTAGTGATACGACTTTTTTATATACTACCAAAAGTATGATCCATAAAAGAAAGCAGGTAAGTTCGAATTAAACTAAAAATTTCTGCTCTACAACAAAATAGGAGAAATTGGAAAACATTCATCTGTAAAAGACATATCCAAAATATATTCAGAACTCAAACTCAACAATATGAAAGCAAACATCTCAATTTAAAAAGGGAAAAAACATCTAAACAGAGACTAGATAACTCATCAAAAGACCTACAGATGGCAAATAAGCATATGAATAGATGCTCAACATTATATGTCATTGGAAAATTGCAAATTAAAAATAAGATACCACTTTGCATCTATAAGAATAGCTAAGACCCAAAACATTGAAAATATTATATGCAGATGAAGATGTAGAGCAACAGGGGCTTTCTTCATGACTGATGAAAATATACACTGGGACAACTACTTTGGCAGACAGTTTAACAGCTTCTTACAAAGCTAAACATAAGCTTGCCATATGATCCAGCAATTCTACTTCTAAGTGTTTATCCAAATGAGCTGAAAACTTACATCCCCACAAAACTTTGTATAAATGTTTATAGCAGCTTTATTCTTAATTATCACAATTTAGAAGCAACCAAAATATCCTCCAATAGGTGAGTGGATAAACAAATTGCAGGACATCCATATGGTGGAATACTATTCAGTGATAAAAAGAAATAAGCTACCAAGCCATGAAAAGACAAAGAGGAACCATAAGTGCATTCAGCTAAAAAAGTCAATCTGAATACTATATAATTCCAACTACTGCATATGATGTTCTGGAAAAAGCAAATCTATTAATAATCAAAAACTTACCACAAAGAGAAGCTCAGGACCAGATGGCCTCACTGGTGAATTCTATCAAATGTTTAAAGAATTCACACCAATCCTTACAGAGGGACACTTCCCAACTCATTCAATGAGGCTAGTATTCCCTGATACTAAAACCAGAGAAAGGCATCACTAGAAAACTACAGACCAATACCCTGTATGAATACAGAAATAAAAATTCTCAATAAAATACTAGCAAACGGAATCCTACAACATGTAATAAGGATTATATACTGTGAGCCAGGTCATAGAAAGCTGTAGAAGAAAAAAATGAGACTGGAGTTTACAAATAAAGAAAACAAAAAAATCCTTCTTTAAAAGATCAGTACATAAGACATACCAATGTTAGATTTAGAATTTTACTTGTAGATAACAACCCCTTTTTCTAGTTTTATGTTGCTTCCTACAATTCTGTATGTCCTTTCCCTATAACCCATACCCTAAAAGTAGGAAACTTTCTGGGATTCCCTATTCCTCCAGGTTCAACTCCTTACAGCTCAATCCTCCTCATTCCCTGGCCCATTCAGGAAATTACTTTCTTTCATTTCCAACATTTCCTCTCAACACTCTCCTTCAAGTGTGCCATGTAAAACCTGGCTTCCGGGTATCCTTAGGGAGCTGGCCACTTAGCTCAGAAATCATCAGGAAAAGTAACAAATGATGAGCTTCTTGAGTGCATTTATACAACTGTTAGTAGAAGTTGTGATGAAAAGCTAAGGACATTAAATTTCAACTGAGGGAGAAGACTCAAAAACAGACAGCCATAAGAGGTTTATAAGCAGCTGAAAAGATACAGATGAAAAAGAATGAAGCTGAACTCAAAAACTAGTTTATAGGTAGGGCCTAAAATAATGTTAACTAGACAAGGCCAAGCGGTTGACTTAAGATGAATTGAGACCATGTCAAAAGTTCTTTTTTTAAAGATTAAAATTCTAATACTTACACAGGAATAGGAACTTGACATGGAGGACAAGGTAATGCAGTCTCAATAAACGCTGGTTCAGAAGGTTGCTCCCAAGGGCCTGTAGGTTGATGCTATGAGTCAAATGATAATTCAAAATGAGAAAGATTAAATCATATGTCCTTTATGAGAATCTAACAAAACAGTTCCCATGTATCCTCTGCTCAAGCAAGTAGAAATTTTTCCAAGTAATCAACAAATTGTGCTTACTGAAATAATTTTATTCTATCTCAATTACATCAGACTGTTCCCCTTCACACATATTCCCTATTACAGCAGATTCCAGTTTTTAAAAGGAAAAACAAAGACAGTATAGCCTCCCTCACCTCTTACAAGCCAAAAGGAGAATGAGAAGCATACTGTAAACTCCAACAAATGTGCTAGTTAAATTAATCTCCATTATTTTATTCACTGTTGTTCCTCATTGCCTTGACACATAGTCAGGGCTCCATATGCACTAGATAAGTGAATGAATCTCTAAGAAAACTAAGAAATCTTTATAAGCTTTAACCACAGAATATGATGGAAGCCTGATAAATTCATCTAAACAATGATTTTAACATGATTATCATACTGTATTTGCAAACATTTGCTTATTTATTGGTTTCTCTCCTTTTCTACACTATGAGTTTTTTTTCCTATGCTCGAGATTGAATTTAGGACCTTATGCTAAGTATAGACCTAGGCCTTATACTAGGAACCTCTTAAGAATCATATATTATGTTATATACTTATATCCAAAAAGTCCTTAATCATTATTTGTTGAATGACTAAATCAAGAAAATATATCTCACAGCAATGAATTGTTTCTTTAATAACACTGTTCTCTTACCTGGCCAGTCTGCTTTATTAATGCTTGATCATGACATGAAGCTGGACACGAGTGACCACATTTCTCCAAAACTTTTTGGCAAGGTTGATGACATGGTGGACAAGGACCAAAGTGACAGCGATGTTTTTCTTGACTGGTATGATGACATGTTGGTGGTCGACTAAATCATAAAGTGCAAATTCTTAAATTACTTTTGATCACTGAACAATTACACCTAAAGTGCAGTACCTACTTATATATCTTCTAAGTCCATGTAGAATGAGCATATTGTGAATATTATTATTTTAATACACTAAAGCAAAATTAAAATACTAACAATATTAAAAATGGATACAAATTTAAAGTGTAAGATACCAGACGAAAGTCTGTCAAAGTTCATACCAACCTGCACAGCTCTCTGCATTTGGGTGGTTTTGTGGTTCGTTCTCGGCCACAGGGCACTGTCACCTTTGCATTACCACAATTGCACTTCACATCTATAGTTTCTGGGCATGGATAGCAACTGCCTAAAAAAAAAGTCTGACACTGTAAAAGAAACTACCTTAATTACCAAATATCATCAATGGTAGAATAAATACATTTGGTACAAAGCATTTGTTAAATGCAAGAGCCTACAATAAGAATGAGAAAACTGACAGCAATATGAACGATTCTCGGCACATCATAAAAAGAATGTAGTATAAGTTTCCATTTACATAAAGTAAACAGGAAAAACTACTTTTTACTGTTCAACATCATGAAGAATACAAGAAGGGTTTTGGAAATGCTGATAATGTTCAATTTAATTACCTGTTTTCTGGTTACATGGTTATGTTCAGTTTATAAAATTTCATCAAGCCCTGCACTTATAATTTGTATACTTTTCTATACTAGTACCTCAATAAAGTTTTAGAAATTTCTTTAAAATTTGTTAAAAATTATATTTAAATGACAAACAACTGTTATTCAAAACTACAATAAGCATTCCTGTCTTCCGGTCTGTAAAACTGACCGACAATTTTTTCGCGGCGCCATTTTCTTTCTGCCACTGCCGGTTACGACGTTGAGCTAGGAATCAAACCCAAGACCTTGAACACACTCAGGAGGTTCTCCACTGGCCTTAGAGCAACGAAATAGAGCAGTAGCTGCAATCAAGTCCAGTCCTATCGAGCCTTCATGATGTTTCCCTTGGCCAAATGGGCGTTGCTTAATGGTCTTAAGAGGCAAATCATATTGCAGCAAGACAAACCCTTATGAAACACTCAACAAATTTTCATGACAAATATGGCAATACTGTGCTAGCTAGTGGAGCCATTTTCTGTGTTACTACATGGGTGTTTTGGGGCCGGGGATTTAGCCCAGTGGTTCCGTCGCCTGCCTCGCAAGCGCAAGGACCTGAGTTCAATGCCTGGTACCAAAAAAAAAAAAAAAAAAAGGGTGTTTTTAACTACACAGATGGGAATAGTATGGAACCCATCTCTTGACGTCCAAGTCACCCTAAAAGAGTGGAAAAATAAATAATCATCACTATTTCTATAATACAGAATTGTTGCAAACCCAACTTGTTATGTACACACTCTAATGCTCATATAAAAATAGCACAACTGAAGAAATAAAATATATTTGAAATCATTAAAAAAAACTACAATAAGTAAAAAGAAGTCTTTGGAAAATATAACACTAATAATAGTTTTTTAGCCTTTTTACATAGATACTTCTATTCAACTACACTGTTTTTAGGAAACCCTCCCACTCCCCCACTGCAGTAGAAGCAACTTCTCCTTTGTGATCTAATGTTGGATATTACCAAGTACTTTCAACTTTCCATTTCTTGTGCTTTCTGAAAGACTAAATTCTAAACCCTCATTTTAGGCCATAATTCTAAACATGTCTCTTCTAAATATTTCAAAAAGAAAAGTTGCTAGGTTTCAACTTTTCTCATTTGCTAAACTTGTCCCTAAGAGACTCTGACATCATCTCAATGGCTTCCCTCCCATTCTAGTTTTCCCAGTAAGGAACTCCATTAGAAATGAAATAATAAGAAAGGAATAAGAGTCTTCATTAAGGAGTGAAAATCTTAAAAAACTGATGTCTGGGTATCAGGATCAAGCAAAACAATGGCCAGGATTTATTCTAATAAAAAATAAAATAATGATGGACAATACTCTGACCTACTGCCTCTAAAAGTCAAAAATAGCTCCTAATAACAAACATGAATTAAAAATTTTGATTCAAATAATGAGGAAAAGGCATCACAGAGAAAAACATAACAAACATAACATTTATTAAATTCTTAAATTTATACTTTTTAGTGTTTTGATAAGTATAATCCAATAATCTTATCTTGATGGTAATATGAGCCAAATTACCCTGACCCACATAATCAAGTTTTATTTGATCTTTCCTAAAGAATTAGATGTTACATTTTTCAAGCTAATAGTGCCATGTAAGTCTATGGTAATTCAGTGTGTTAAATCAATACCTGTACCTAGTGATAATTTTTCATTCATCATCAGCAATTCAAGAACTTATCAAACATGACCTTTTTTGCCACCCTAAAACTACATCACCATTTTAAAAAGTCTTAAAAATAATAAGGAATAATTGCCCCGAAGTCTTCCTATTGATTCAAAGAATTTGTTATAGACTCCTGTACAAAATGAAAGATAGTAATTAAAATAGTCTCCATAGTAATATTTCCAAAATTAAAAAGCAGTATACAAAGAATAATTATAGTGACCATTGGTCAATACCCAAAATGGACAAGATTCCAGTAATTCCAGAACCATAAACACAGATGACCTTAAACCTAAAAAAACTAAAACTCACATTTTCATACAATCATCAAACAAATATGCAATTGGTATCCTCTCCCCATGAATTATGGTATAATTTTGGTTATGAAGGCCATCTAGAATAATGAAAATGATATAAAAAATGACTCCAAATATTTCATGTAACTGTAAATTAAATAAACAATGAGTTATACAACAGTATTTTCCAAATACTTTATTAGGAGCTAGTAAGTTTCTTTTGGAGCTAAAAAATATCATCTTAGAAAAATACACACTACCAAAAATATAGAACCTGAATCTGATCAAATCTCTAGACTCAACTAACAATTTATAGGAAATGAATAGGACAAAGAAACATGTTAACTAAGACAACAGGGATGCAACCTGAAAATTCCAGATTGAGAAACTAAATAAAGCAAATCTCTTCAACAAGTAAGTTGTAAGAGAAAAAAAGTGATAAAAGAGGAAAACTATCAATTAAGAGACTTCAGAGACACATTAACATGTCATATGTAACATGCCAATCTTATCAGGTTTTTGAGTCATACAAACTGAAGTAAAAACATAGACATCTATGAGAACTTGAACTTCAGATATTTGCTGACATGAAGAAATTACTTTTAGATTAAGAATCCATCTTTTAGAAATGAACAAGATGGGAAAATGTTTTCAACACTTCCCCATTACGTATGTTTGATCTAGCCTTTCTACAGATACTCTTGTTTTTTTGTTTTTTTGGTCCTGGGGATTGAACTCGGGACCTTGTGCTTGCGAGGCAGGTGCCGGAACCACTGAGCTAAATCCCTGGGCCCTACAGATACTCTTGATCAGATTAAAGATAATCTCTTATGCTTCTAGTGTCATATATGGATTTTGGATTTTATCAGCCATTTTTTAGACATTTACCTAGATATTTTATTTTCTCCTTTAATTGGTTACCACAGTAAATAATTATTAGACTAATAGTAATCCACTCATACATTACTGAAATAAACCCAACTTTGTTATGACAGACTAAAAATTTGGTGACCTAATATTCTAGTATTGGATAGCTGGATTTGAGTAGCTAAAACTTTAAAATTTTTACAAATATGTTCACATATTGACTTGCAAGTTTCTCTTACTTTCCTTGTCAGTCAAAGCAATGAATTGGGCATATTCTTTTTTTACATATACTATAAAACAGTTTAGGAAGAAGCTTAATTGTTCATGTTATAAATGTTTATTAGTTTAAAAAATCATGTAAAATTAAATAGGCCTGGTACAACTAGTCAAGTTTCCTACAAAAAGGCCAGTGTTTTAACAATGGTCTACTGGACCTTATCCATATTCTCATTTCCTCAGCAATCCCTAAACTACCATTTTTTTGGTCTCATGTCCCACCATTTGTTCCCTTTAGCACTCCACTTTGCACACTGCTTTCCAGCCTGAAACACTACTTCAGACTCCCATTTCCATGTGGCTTGATCCTTTACTTCTTTCAGTTCTCCTCTCAAATGTCATCTTTTCAGAGTTCTCTCCTTGACACAGTATTTAAAATAGTACACAACCATCCCCACAACCATAATTTTACTCTACCTTTCTTTTAATAATTGTCTTATTATTATAAATAGCTTGTTATTAATAGCTTATTAATTATTTAGATTTTATCAAGGAGAGTCTTAATAATTAACCACTAGCTAACAGCTTATATTAATTTATTTATTTGGATTTTACCAAGGAAAGTCAAAAATTAAGTTCCATATGAACAGAGATTTCAACAATTTTTTTTTTTGGTACTGGGGATCGAACTCGGGTCCTTGCGCTCACACAGTAGGCAGCAAAACCACTGAGCTAAATCCCCGGCCAAGACTTCACCAATTTTGTTGACTCATACAATCCCAGTATCTGATACTTAGTAGATGCTCAAAGATGTCATTGTAATAACTTAGGACACAATTTTCAAAGCATGATCTAGAGACACTAAGGGTCCAAGACCCATTCAGGGAGGCCACAAGGTCTCACATGCATAAAACAGATTTTCCAGAAGCTAGTAACAAGTAGTATCATAGAAGACTGAATGAAGGAGCAAACATGTGAATCCAGGTACTATCTATTAAGCTAGACAATTAAGAAATTTTCAAGAAATACCAATCACACTATTTCTTTTCAGAAAAATTTTCATGAAGAAAGTTATTTATATTAAGATGAAATGTGTCTATTATTTCTACTTAAAAGCATTATTACATTTTGTCTGAATATCAAATATAATGTCAATAGATAAAGCCATATAACAATAGTTTGCTGGAGTCACAAAAATAATAAAGAGTTCCTCAGACTAAAATATTTGAGAACCACTGCCTTAGATATATCCAATCCCTTACTAAATTTCATATAATGTATAAAATTTAGAATAAAATTGAAAAATTTAAGAACATCTTTTGAACATCTCAACTTTTAAGATGTGTGGAGAAGGCTAAAAGGAAGCAGAGAAATAACGACAGTGTTATAGAAACACAGTACAGAACATCTGTAATATTACAGAAAGAATAAAACTTATATTCAGAAGACTTGAGTTCAAATTTGTGTATATGCTATACTAGACATTTCCCAGAGTAATTCACTGAACCCTCTTTAACTTTACCACCTTCTTCATAAAATAGGGGGATTGGTAACCACTGCATATACTTCCCTCTCAAGGTCATTAGGAGGTAAGAAAGGTAATAAAATGTGAACGCTCTTTATCACTAAGTAAATACAAACACAAAATTACAGCTACTGTTAAATTTTACCTCTGTGGCAGACAGACGGACACTTATGGTTTCTGCATCCTAAAGTCCGTCCACAGTTTTGATCACAAGGTGGACAATTCCCAGGGCAGCACTGAAGAGAAAGCAATATACAAAGAATAGATAATTGGAAAACCCATGCATAATAGAATGTCATTACAAGGTATTCACAGAACTTACGGAGAGTAAAAGATATTTCTTTTTACTAAGAATGAAAATATTCAAGAGTATCAACATTCTTCTGGTGAGTAGATACCCTGTATTAAAAACTTCCAGTTTAGCCAGGGATTTGGCTCAGTGGCACCATGCTTGCCTCCCAAGCGCAAGGTCCTGAGTTTGATCCCCGGTACCGCAAAAAAAAAAAAAAAAATTCCAGTTTAAATAGACAATGACCTAATTTAATAAAATCAAACTAAATTTTCTTTCCCTTCAGTTAATGACTCTTCTGACTTAAAATATTTCCATCAGATAACTTAATTTATTTTTCTATGCAGAGATTCACACTAACCAAAGGAATGGGTCTAGTCAAATGCCACAGGTAATTTAAGAAACTGGTCTGGCTATTTTTATAAACTTAATTAAAACTATTTCAATGTAGAGATTAGTTTGGCAGTTATTATCAAACCATGAATCAGAGTACCTTTCTCCTGCACTGATGCTTCTGACAGTCACGCATCTTAACACACTTAGTTTCACACAGATAAGGTTTATGACATGACATTCGTTTTGTATGCTTTCCACAGCGACAATGCTTTTCCACCTCCTGGAAAAATCAAATGAATGGCATTAAAACTGAGCTTTTTTAATATTTTTTTCCTACGGTGTAATTTCTGTAATTACTAAATCATCATGGACAAAAATCTTAATAGCAAACAATACGAAAGACTACCAAAGCCAAATCTCCTAAAATATTTTGTTTATATCTTACTTCGTTCTAAAAAGTACTTCATACAACTTTGTTACTAAATTTAACAGCAATCTAACATTAAGCAGTTTAAAAAAAAAAACTACACATTGAAATTACCTACATCTAATTACAATCATAATATCCTCCGTGTCATAGTACAGCAAGAAAACTGGATTATCTAGTAAGCTAAATTGCTGACCTTGTACTAAGGTCCAAAATGTTATGCATTACTTTAAAGTCTCAAGTCTAGGGATTTGTTTCTTTCCATCACTGCTCTGAATGTTCTGGAAACAAACAACTGGACTACAAAAATGAGAACATTAAAACTTTTACCAAGCAACAAACAAAAAGGTAATATTTAGGGCCAGGGATTTAGCTCAGTGGTTCTGTCGCCTGCCTCGCAAGCGCAAGGACCTGAGTTCGATCCCTGGTACCAAAAAAAAAAAAAAAAAGGTAATATTTAGATTTGACTGCTGGCATACTGTACTGCTTCTTACCATAAACATTAGGTCACAAAACTCATACAGATCATGACATAAATTTATATGAAAGTAAGTAATGGAAAACAGTAACAGGATAATCTTATTGATAAATTACAATAGTTAACTCTTGAAAGCATAATTATTACAGATTACTAACCTGTCTACATGTTTCACAAGGACCTCGGTGACAACGCTGTGAGCATCTATGGATTCCACACTCCAGTACTTTGTCACAACTATCTCCACAAGTTGGTACATCTTCTGTACAAGGCAAAGAAAATTCTAAAAGCAAACAAAACATCAGTGTTAACAAGACACATTATTACTTTATTATTAACCCTAACAAACTGTCATATTCTTTAAGCTCCCTGAGGAAAGACAGCCCTTTCAAACTATGAAGATTTGACCACATAAGTACTGGAAAAAATTACCTTTAATGAAAATAACCCCTAGTATTTGTGAAGGTTATACTTTTTAAAAAAGAAATTTGGCAAATGACAAGTTACCATCCCTAAGAAATATTTTATGGGCTATTCAGAAATAGTTACGTAAAAAAGATATGTACAACTCATGAATTTCCACAAAATACAGAATTATTCTTTTTTAACTTGCTCTTACCTCACAGGATGTTAAAAAGATAGAAACTTTAGAATATTACAAAACTCACCTTAAGCAAACTTATTATGATAAGTACTGTATTAGAAATAATCTTAAAAATATGAATATTAGTGGAGAGTCAAGGAAGCTAACTCAAAATAAAACCCAACTATGCTGTTATCTCATAGCAGCCAAAAATAAATTTGACCTATAACCTCATTCACAACAGTGATAATAGCACAGCCTCCTCCCTTATTCATATCCCCCATCAGAATCAGGTATCTGTTATTACTGATAACTTACAATGATACATCATCATCACCCAAAGATCATGATTTACATTAGGTTCACTCTTTGGGTTGTGAACCTTTTGGGTCTGGATAAATGTATAACATGAATCCACAATTGCTGTATCACCTGTACTAGCTTTACCACCCTAAAAAATCCTCTGTGCTCTGCCTATTCATCTCTTCCTCTTCCTAAACCCTGACAATTACAGATCTTTTTTCTTTTGGTACCAGGGAATCAAACTCGGGTCCTTGTGCTTGCGCAGCAGGTAGCAAAACCACTGAGCTAAATCCCCAGCCCAATTACAGATCTTTTAACTAGTTCCATAGTTTTGATTTTTCCAGAATGTCATATACTCGGGAGTCCTATAGTACATGGCTTTTTCAGATTAATTTGTCTCACTTAGTAAAATGCATGTGTGTTTCTTCCATGTCTCTTTATGGCATGATAATTCACTTCCTTAAAAGAAAGTCTTACTTGATTTTTGACATGGACAGAACCTTTTCCCAGATCGAGGACATTCTCCACAAGCACCAACATGGCAAACTTGCTCACAAGTATGATTAGCACATGGCAGTGTTTTTCCACATACCTAAAATAATATAAGCACTAGTGAAAATTTTAAAATTTAACAAAAGATTTTGTACAAAATATAATCCATTTTCAATCACAAATAATTTCTTTATGTTCCTCGCATTATATAGGTGACATATGTGTATGCACATATATATGTACACACACATATATTTCCTATGTACCAAAGAGAATATTTTTAAAAGATAATAAAGGAAAAAGTACATACAGCTTTACATGGTCCTTCAGCCAAATAGTATTAAAACCATGCCAATCACGATGGAGCAGGAAATACTTATGGCCACAAGGTGGTTTAAACACTGTCTCACATACTTGGCCACATGAGTGAAGACAAGCGAACTACAGAGTTATCAACCCTACTTCCTTAATGGGATTAACTCAAGGAGGAGGAAAAGTGTTGGATCAAAAAAGGGAAAGGGAGTAAGGGAGGGAGAACTAACAAAAAAAGACTGAAAAGTAAAAATGTACTGAATTCAAAATTAAAAACAAGTAACTATTACTTCAACAACAATTTTTCAATAATTAAAAAACTAAATTGAAAAGTAACTTCCTAATACAGGATTTAGTTCAGCTGAGTTGCTTACCTTTTATCTAGCTAAACCTAACTAGTATTTCTGTCTTCTAGTGGTTTATGCTTCCCACACTGCTAATATACCCCTGAAAATGCATACACACTTACTTGATCACAGTGCCACACTGGACTTGCACAGCTTCTTTCAGCTACTTTTTTGCCACAGATACATTTTTGTCTACTAACCCTTGGACAGGGTTTACAACTTCCTAAAATCAGAATGATAAATCAGCAAACAAACATTATAAAAACTGCTTTGACTTTTGCTTAAAGTCAGAATACCCAACAGGTACTGCCTTTTACCTGCATGACAAGGATTTTCACACTTATGTTGCCCACAAAGCAACTTTTGCCCACATGGCTGCTGGCAGGACCATTCCTTGGCACTGCATCTACGAGGGATAGGTTTTGCTTTCTTACAGTAACAAGTGGTTGTGACCATTTTTGGACAAGGTGGGCAAGGACCTAGAATGCAATGAAGAAGAAAATCAGAAGAAATGCAAACTTTTCATTCCTATACCCATAAGTAATTTCTAAAACTTTATTGATGCTTTAGAAGGCAATCCCTTTTAATATGTTCTCATGGTAAATTTCAGTTCTCAATTCAACACTCACAATTTTTTTTACCTCAACATCAGGAAAAATAACCACCCACAAACAACTAATAATGCAGTATGTAACTCACCTGGATGACAGAGGAGTAAACACTTATGGCCACAAGGTGGTTTAAATTCTCTCTCACACACTTGACCACATGAGTGAGGCACAAGCCATGGATCTAAAGGTGGATCTTCTACTTTTCCACAATAGCAATAGTACCTACTAGGTGTTTCTGATCGTTTGTATTCAAACCTACACTTTGGACTATACAAAAAAGAATGAAATTATTAAAGTTAATATCATCTTTGCCAGGGATTTAGCTCAGTGGTTCCAGCGCCTGCCTCACAAGCACAAAGTCCTGAGTTTGATGCCTGGTACCAAAAAAAAAAATCATCTTTAAAAGCAACATGAGAGAGAGGAATATAAACATTCTTATTAACAGACTACTTGATTAATTTCCATTTTTACATTAGTAAATAAAAACCAAGATCTTATCTGTTTAACCATCTAATACATCTCTGTACAACCTAATTCCCTGAAATGCTGGGATTGTTTTATACCTGCATTGTTCAGTACAGTAGCCACCAGCTACATATGGCACTTGAGATGTGGCTAGTGTGTACAACTCAGCAAAGATCAGAATTTTTCTCTCATATTATTTAAAAACCTAAATAGCTACATGTGGGAAGTTGCATACATTAAATATACATATCTAGAATACAGGTACAAAATAAAATAATAGTAGCTTCTACTAATTACATAGAACTTCATTCTTGAGTTATTCACCTAGATTTTTACAAAGTTCAAGTTAGCAACAGCAAACAAAGGCAGAAACAGGTTAAATCTAAAATAGAGGAGAAAACTTGAAAATAAACAAGGAATCTTGTCATTTTCAACAGCTAATACAAAACAGTCGTGCTACAAATGTCCCCAACTCAAAGAAAAATTCAAATATCATTTAATATTCTCTGCTAAAGCAGAAAGATTTGCAACCTTCATTAAAATAAGTAAATTTTGGCACTAAAAATGTCAACCTCTAGCTCTTATTAAAAATTCAATTGTGGATCATCATAGACACTCCATTCCAAAAAAGATGGTCTAAGCCTTACTATCTCCTGAATAACTGAGTACAGTTAATATACTACAGTAGGACAACAGTTTTGCATAATCACTTTAATTTCTTCTATATCAAAAACTGCTTTCATTGTCACGAGAACAAGTTGATCCCAAATAAATACTACACTCAGTGGTGCCACCGCCTGCCTCGCAAGCACAAGGTCCCGAGTTTGATCCCTGGTACCAAAAAAAACCACAAAAAAACAAATACTACATCATAAATCTTCAAAATGACAAAAGATATGTGTTCTTATAATTAAAAGCCAAAAACAAATATGTCTCATCTGTTACAGATAACTTCTATTTTGCTCAAGGAGTTAAATTACTCTTTACTAAAAGAAAAACATTTGCCATTGCTTTCAGCTATGAAGGTGTATATTTTATGTGTGTGTACTTTTAATAAGCTTGAATGTGAACAGCTCACAGGTAACTCACCACAATAACACTGGCCATCAGTACTGAGACAGAACTATTTCAGTGAGAGCAAATGCATGAGGTTCAAAAGAGTAATGGAATGCCAGTAATGAAAAGTAATGATGCTATCTGTATCTTGTTCACCAAGAGGCAATGTTTTAGTAGAAATGAAAATTTTAAATTTTTTATTGCCATAAAACATCTAGTTTTAAACTATTAACATTTTTACCAAGTTCTAGCTCCATCTTGACAAGAATTAAAACAAATTCCCAACCAGCACAGCCTTTTCTTTTTAAAAACTGTGATATCTGGAGTGTAAAGAACACTGCATAGTTGATTAAAGTCTTGTTCCTTTTAGATTTAGAAAAGCCACAGCAATTCATTGTTCTCTTAACTGCTACTTTCCTGTCCTGTGGCAAAATAACTACATAAAATAGAAATGAGAAGAATAAGAGTGAAAAGAAAAAAATGCATGTAAAGATTAAATCTCCAAAACTTAACAAATTAGAATATCTGCTTTAATTTGGCACCTAATAATTACTAAATTTCCTTTACCACAAAGTACATTATACACAGTAGCAAACATAGACTTTGAAATTTTAAACTGTTTCAAAGACATGTGTATTCAAAGAAGAAAAAACAAATATCTCTAAAGGCAATACTGTAAGACAAAATTCACTTAGAAAAATAGAGAAAGCACTAAATTTAGAAGTCAGAAATCCTAGGTTTCAAATCTACTACTTAAGAGGAGTCTGAAACCACTGCACCATCATCACTGGTAATAGACAAAATCTCTCACTGATTGCCTAGAATTATTCTGAAAAAGTGATTCCTACATCTAAATATTTTTTTAAAACTGCACCACCACAATTTTACAAATGTATCAGTAGTACAATAATAACGGGAGGTCTGATGTAGGTCCAGGTTTTGTGAGGACTGAATTTAAACAATTTGGGGGTATCTGTTAAGAAATAGAACACAAAATTATAAACATACAATTAGTTACAAAAGTTAGAAAATGTGAACACACAGAACCCCTGAGCTTATGTTTTATTACCTCAACAATCTACCCCTCTGTGTTGCCAGTATATATAAATTTTTATGGACATTATTAGCAGATATAGAGAATTTCCTTCCACTTCTCAACTCTTTCTCAAAATATAACAAAAACAAAACAAAAAGTGCAAGATCAAATAATCAAGAATAAGTAAAATTTATAAATGCAGAAAAATTAATTATATCAGATAATACAAACTTGCAATTTTGAGATTTCAAGGATAAAATCGAGAAGCCTATGATTAAAATGCCAGATGACAATCTCGTAAAATGTGATACTAACGTACACTAACAGAAATTCCAGAAGAGAGGTACCAAATTATGAATTACTCAGTTCCATAGGAATGAAAAGTCCTTCAAAAACTTCAGAGTTGTTTTGATAGAAAAAATAAATTCTGAATGATTTGATATCATAGCAGTTACACAAATTGTAGGAAAACAACAGGCTATCAAAATAGCCTTCATAAGCCAAATGACTAATTGAAGGATAAACTTGAAACTTTCAATGAGGTAACTTAATGTTCTACAATTTTCATGTATTCTGCAACTTAAAATCCAACTAATATGAAAAAGTTACCAAGGCCACGGATAATCTCTCGTTCCAAAATCATCATCCGTCAGAGAAGAAAGAAGAAACTGGCTATCTTTAGCCCACTTCTGGATACAGGGCATGTGAAATATACAGAAACATCCCATACAGCTCCAAACCTAAAGCAAAGATGTCAGAAATTACCTTGCATGCAATGATTTTTGTCAATTTCTTAGTACCTTAAAATAAGTATCACACTAAAGTATTTTCAATCTAAGAATTAAAGAAAATAATTTTCCCTCTCATACAATAGAAGAAATATAACTTATAAAAATATATTTAAGGGCCGGGGATTTAGCTCAGTGGTTTCAGAGCCTGCCTTGCAAGCACAAGGTCCCGAGTTCAATCCCCGGTACCAAAAAAAAAAAAAAATGCAAAAATATATTTAGGTATAAAACATTTTAAAGAAAAATATCATTAGTCACCAAGATTTAATCAACTAGAAATAACTACAATTAGAATTCTGGACAGTTTTCACTTTCTTTTTAATATAGATTTCTTCCTTTTTAAAAATGAAGTCATACTGGAACAAACTCGTAAGTTTACAGTCTTCTGTTCCAATATGGTAAGCTTTTATACTGATCAAATATGTTTATACAACATGAAATTCATAGCTTTACAGTATGTCATTGATGGCTGTTAATGATAAACAGCCCACTGCAGCACATGTGTCATAAGTTCACCACCATTGAGGTACATCATATCGACTCATGTACCATAATTTAACTTCTTGGACATTAGGTTATTTCCAAATATAACAGTACAAAAGAATCCTCAAGTATGTACATATATCTCTATATAGCCTTTCTGTTAAAGGAAACCTATTAGTCTAACACTCGGTGCTAATAAATGAGCAAAAAATGAAAATATATAAAATTGAAAGGCTAAATAATTTTTAATGCCTGCCAATACTAATAAAATGGCAAAAATCACTTTTTCTTTCCTTATAACATTTTGCAGTTGTCTGAAATAATCAGACATACTGTATAAGCTGGCAAAACATAAAAGGAGCCAACTTCTTAGCTTATAATCACCTCAAACAGTGCCTGAGATAAGCACTTGGATGTAAGAGACAAGATAAGAAAGAAGTTGAAAAGAAAAATTTGTGCTATTATCTGTATCTTTTTTGTAAGAATCGTTTTGGTTTAGGTCTTATAGTGTAACTAGTTTGAAGATGACAATACACAGTGTAATAACTACTGTTATTATTTTATTATTTGGTTATGAAATTTTATTTTTCATAAAATAAGAAATGCCAATAAATGTTATACTAATACACTGATTTGATTCGTACTCAGGGCCACAGCTGCTCAATCTTACAGAGTCCCTCTAGAAAGCCATGTAAAACATTCCTTAGATTACCCTGGTCCCACCCTAACAAACAGGAGGCTGGGACATTCAACCACCAATTCCCAATGTTGCCCCACGTGACATTAACGCTTCAGTGCTGCACTACACCTGTAGATTGGCTGAGTAGGTTCCCAATGAAAATACCTTAGGATGGGGTGGAAAACATAACCCATCCACAGATCAAGGGTTTAGACTATATCCGCATGATGCAGAGAGACTGTTTGTTCACTACACCTGAAATCAAAGTAGCCCAACCAGATGTGACTCTGAGCACCACAACACCTGCATCTGCTACACTATCCTGCCCAACCTGAACAGGTTAAACTTCTCATTCTCTCTATACTACCAATCTGTTTTATCTAGCCTGATTTTCTTCCTATAGGCAACAAAGCTGTAACTCCTTTTTAATTGTTTTCATTAATGACCTTTTAAATTCAGATACAGTTAACTTCATCATTAGGCTACAGCTCCTCTAAGGACATGAATTATGCCTGAATCTTTCCATACTCAATGACCTTTGTCACTTCCCACAATGTCATCAACACAGGAAAAGCTAACTAAGTATCACTGCCAAGTTCTAATTTTTTTTTCCAACCCACTGAAAGTAGGTAATATAGTGTAGTTTAACATTTCAAATTTGTGGGAATCTCAAGTATAGATCGGAAAAATGCAATATCAAATCCACATATACATTAAAACTGACAATAGATATTAATGGTACTATAAAAAATACTGAAAGTTCAATTAGAGATAATTTTTTAAATTTCATATTTATAAAATAAAGATCCATTCATACAGGAAATTTCCTAGTGAAGCATTTTTTTGTAAACATAAGCAAAAGAACAGATGGTTAAGTATTATCAATGCAAAATAAAATATTTTGAGGAAATGCATTTACACTGATAAGGAAAAAAACTTACTGCTTGGTTTCTCTTCACTGAAGCAATACAAATTAAGCATGTCATAGCCCCCGCTTGAAAAGCTTCATTTACATACTGTTTTGTTCGCTCTAATTCACGTGTATCTCCATCTTGAAATGTAAAAATTTTAAATCTCATGTTAAGCAACATCTGAAAACAATACAAACTCACTACTGAGTGAGTTATATCATATTACATACCATAAGTCAGGCAATATTAATTCCTCAAAATGTGGCTAAAAATAACAAAGTTTAAAGACGTACCCAATAAGCTGTTTAGAGGTTACAAAGTCCATGAACTAAATCTTATAAACTTAGTTCAAAAACTGTACCTCAGCTCTCTCTCACCATGTACTTACTTTTCTTGCTGTTAAAATCCTTACTTAACAAACTTAGTGGGAACAGAACTATAGGCAAGAATCAACAAGATGCAAAGTAACAAGGGAAAGCACAAAAAAAAGTGTGAAAGGAAATAAAAAATTATAAACAAGACCATTCAATGTAAATTTAAGGGTGAGTTTGTGTTTGTGGGTGTGTGAAGGGTATTGAGCACTCAACACACTCTTTTTTTTTTTTTTTGGTACCGGGGATCGAACTCAGATCCTTGTGCTTGCAAGGCAAGCAGCAGAACCACTGAGCTAAATCCCCGACCCACACAACATACTCTCAATAAAAACTTGTTGAATGAAAACACACTTGGGTCATTAGCATATAATAACCATGTTCTAGTAAATTATGTTCATTATTTCAGCTGAAAAGGGTAAGCTTTTTAGAGTATTACTAGACTGTATTTTCTTTAAGCAATTATTAAGCATTTATTCACAAGGCTCTATACTATTAGTACTCTTTCCATAGGATTAAATGAACTATTATTGTCTTCGTGTTACTGATGAGAAATGTGAGACAGACAATAAATCCCATGCAATGCAGCAGTGAGAAGTTATGGCAGCAAGGTCCCAGAAACACAAGTAATAGTAGCAAAACAAGACAGGAAAAGTACCCTAACGCAAAAAACCAAAGGGGCAGTAATCTGAGTCACTTTAAAGTAAGAAAAATAATCCTACAATGCCATTAGTATAATACAAATTGTCCAATACAAACTGACCGAGTCTCTAAGAAAAATAGATTAACAGTATAAACTACCATTAACTGTACAACTCACCACAGCAATAGCCTAGTTCAAAACAAAATCTAAGTTGCCAGAAAGAAAAATTAAATAAGATACATGGATAATTATTCACTTTCTATAATCATCTAAGTAAAAACAGAACTTACGAAGTTTGCCCTGCCATAATATGAATGCAAATGTAATTTGGGCTATTAAAAAAAATACATGTAAAAACACTCCCAAAACTATAAAGTTACTAATAACAATTGCTTTATTTTAAAAAACACAGTTGTAAAATATACTTAAAGCTGAATTAATAATTATATTCTATATGCTTATTTTACTTTTCAACACAGCTAGCTTTAACAAATATGTATTTAAATTTCATCTAATTTAACAGCTGATTTGTATAATTTAGAATTTAAAAACAAAATAAAATAGGCTTTTCTAAAATAGAGTCTGACTTTATATTTACAATATTTATATAAGATTCTTTGAAATTTATATTAAAGTTTCGCTGTGATAATAAAATGTACTGCCCAGCATGTCACAGTGGATAGCATGACATTTGAAGTCATGCATTTTAAAAAGATCAGTCTGGCAAGTGAAAAAACAGTAAGAGGAAGCCCAGACTAGAAGCAGGAAAAACCAGTCAAAGCCAGTTACAGCAGGAAAAGGAAAAATGATCTTGAGCAAGTTGTCTAACATGACTCAGTTTTCTCATTTATTGAACAATAATAACACATACTTCTCCATTAATATGCAGATTAAATCAATATATTGAATAGCTAGTTATACAGACCCAATGATAGTATGCTGAAGAGGAAGGATGGATTTATGAAACTTAGGAAGTACAACTTAGGTGACTCTGGTGACAATTAGACTGAGTTACTTTCAAAGATGATGTTTAGGGCCGGGGATTTAGCTCAGTGGTTCCACCGCCTGCCTCACAAGCGCAAGGACCTGAGTTCGATCCCCAGTACCAAAAAACAAAACAAAACAAAACAAAAGATGTTGTTTAGGAAAAAAGTGCCCTGTATAATGAGCTGTCTAGCATGGCAGAGGGGAAGTAGTACTAAACGACAACATGCATGTCATCTATGTGCCATCCCTGCTTTCAGATTTTTGGCTTGGGTTGGTGACTGGAAGACTGAGGTGCTATTAACTGAAGTAAAGAAAACAAAGAAAAATAAGTCATCTGTATATATAAAAATATACAATTATACACATATATGTGATGTGTCTAATGGCCAAGAAAGATAAAGCTACTCATCAAGAAGATGGCCATGAAAGTTTGAAAGTTTTGAGAAGAATCACAAGAGTACATAGGCTGTGATCAAATAAATATGAACTCCTTTAGTAAAGTCCTGCCATTCAACACTAATACGAGGTAGGAGCCATCTCAACACTGGCATTTATTGTTCCTAAACCAAGTGGTCAGAGTTGCCCTTGCTTTCATAGGGGCAAAGTGCAGAAGACAAAGGAATGAGATTTAAAACATTAATGGATTTGACACAAAACAGCGTATGAAAAATAATCTTAACATTTTAAGATGAAAACCATATTAAAAATGTATAAAACTGGGCCAGGGATTTAGCTCAGTGGTTCTGCCATCTGCCTCGCAAGCACAAGGTCCCGAGTTCGATCCCCAGTACCAAAAAAAAAAAAATGTATAAAACTTACAAAATGATGTTTTCTAAGCACTAAAAAGATATTATTGAGTTACATTACCATATTTTTTATTTAATAATGAATAGTCTATCTAGACTAGTTTAGTGAGGGCTTCTTAAAGCACAAAACTTAAGATTACTTTCTATAAGTTGCCCAGAAGCAAGAAACCCTCTAACCTTAAAAAGTTACTTTTCATCGAATTCTATCTGGCTGAGCTAGACTTCTTAGTCAAACTTCTTAATCTTAATTCTCTAATGGATACAGCAGATTCCTTGGAAAGCTATTTGACCATGCGTACCTCTTCTTTATGATCCCATCAGTATGTGTGGCGCTACCTAATCACCAAAGGTAGTTAGTGAGTGGGTGGGAGAGGAGTGGGCAAAGTTAATGAATCATTCTGCCCCAAGACTTAACTAACTCTTATGCTCCTGAATTGCCTTTATCCAGCTCAAGCTCTGTGGCGCTCATTTTGTGACATCGCTCGCCTTATTCTTCTCCAGAAAGAACAGTATAATAACTAAGAAACACGTCAGTAGGAAGCTGAGGTGGTCATACAATATGGGGCCTTATGACCAAGGGAAGACAAAATAAAAAAGAAACATTTTCAAAAAGATAATAAAAGAGAGTAAGCTATGGTAGAAAATTTCTAATAATGAACCTCACAAAATATATTAAACATCATAGGAAACAAATACACAGCATATACTTTATGACAAGCATTACTGATTTACTTCATCCCCACCACTCTAGGATATTTACCATCATTACATCCACTTTACGAAAGAGACTCGGTAATATGTCAAACATCATACAGCCAAACAGCAGACAAGATTCAAACTTGGCAAGTTTGAGAGGCAAATGTTCTTAACAACTATACAATGCTGATTTTTCTGCCATAAATAAGTACAAAAGCAACAGTCAAATCTACCTCAGAATTTTTCTGCTTTACCTAGAAAATACAATAAGACTAGTATTGGCTTAAAAGCTAAGTAAACTAGGTTTAAACCCAGTTCTGCCATTTGCTAATTGTGTAACTCTAAGAGAGTCAGGTCTCCTATGCAGTTGTTTCCTAGAAAATTTCCAGTTTCTTCTAGTTCTGACAAGATCCTACAGTGAGAAAAACAACTAAGTAAGAGTGTAAACATATTACTAACATAAGGGTATATAGCACTTGCTTTGGCAGCACATATACTAAAAAGGGGTATTTAAACAATATCAAATATATCTACAAATAAAGTGATAAATGTTGATAGTACATTCAAGAATATTTCTAATAATAACTTTAAATGTAGAAAGTTTCAAAATACCTTTATTTACCTTTAAAAGAATCTATTTTTTACAATACTAAGTCATACACAGCACCATCACTTTGGCCCTGTCTCACATAAACAAATGTGGCTTTAAGAGTAACCCAGATATACCCAAGAGATAAAATGAATATATATGTCAGACAGACTTGCAGAGATTTACTTAAAAAACAAAGTGTGCAGATCAAAAAGTGTGAAGATATAAAATATAAAATAGAGTAATACAGTTAAGAAATGAAGAGGAAGTCAAGATTTTTAATAGTGAGATAGAAAAAATGAAGAATGGATTGAATGAAGCATCCAAAGTCCTCTAGTCCAGTCAAGTCACAACCACAGACAATCTGTCCTGGTGCCTTCTCAGGGAGCTTTGAAAGCCCCTCCCAGCATTCTACTGAAATGCAAATTAAAGTTACAGCAGAAGGCAGGGAAAGAGCCATCACCATTCCATCAGCTTACCTGTCTGAGTAGCGTATGTTATAAATGTATTAGCAACTATTTTTCCCTGTTTCCCTTCAAAGTCTTCATCTCCTTCCTCTTCAGATGAAGAACTAAAATGTTCTTCAACAAGTTTTCTGGCTGCAGCTTGATTAGCCTTCTTGATTTCCTCAAATTTCCTCTGAGACATTAGCTCTGTTAAGAGAAAAAAAATGTTTTCATTTATCCAAAACAATCTCAAAACGCAAGGGAAGACATACTAATATATCATTTTTAAACATGCATTTGAAAGTCTCCTTTGGAGTAGTCTATCTATCTTAATGAGAGAAAATGTTTTTCCAAATTCTTGACCCACAACTAAATAAAGAGCCACAAAAAATTCCACTTTTGAATGTTTCTTACTAACAGCAGTGATTTCTTATAAGAAGACTAACAAACTGAAAAAAAGTAAGGTACAACAAAAGCATCAAAAGCCTGATGATCAACCTCAAAATAAAAATTTAAATAGATGTTTTAAAATACACTGTACATGGTGACTTTTAAGAGATGATGGAACATGCCCACTGAGAACATTACAATCAAAGGAGGTAGGTACTTCTTCAAACCTATTTTGAACCACAGCCTAGCCCACCCCACCAAATAGTTCCCACAGACAGCACTCACTGTGTGTCCACTACTTCATAATTTGCTTCATTAAAAATCCAAGAACTTTCTCACATTTTTGTGGTCACAAAAATATATATATTTAATTAATCCACACAGAAAGTTGTTAACATGGAAAACTTGCTTCTTACAGTTTCATTCCAAAAAGAATGTTAAACACTTTCAGATTAGTTATTTTACCATTCTCTCTAGCACTGTCTGTACTCATTTTGTTACCTGGTTAAATAATAATGCAAAACAGAATTTGATTACTTCATAGCACATATTCCCAATGAGATTTCACACTGCTTGAGAGCTAGAACCCTGGGAATTTGCTTCAGGCATTAAGTGTTGATAAACTTCTTTGGACAACAACCATAATTCAAGAAAAGCACAAGGCTACTGACTGATCTGAATTCATTACTGCCCATTCTGAGAGGATTTTACATTTACTAATTTAAATCACTAATTTAAAATTCACTTTATACTTGAAACTGATGCACCATTATCTAGACAAACTCTTATTTTAGGTAGTGTATTTAACGATGTTTTATCTTTTATTTCCTCCGTGAAATATTTTCTTTTTCTTGTTGCCGCCAATTAGGTTAGTGACTACCAACCAAAACTATTTCAAGTATAACTGGAAGAAAATGTATACTATTCTTTCCTAGGAGTCTTTCTGTACTGGAGAAAAAGTAATGGCTATAAGATACAAAACTCAAAACAAGAAAGATGATAAATGTCATTAATCTATGGGAAATTTCCTTAGCTGAATAAGGAAAAAAGGGCTGAACTAGACATATAATGAAAACCTGACAAATGTATTTACCTTAGATCACCTCAAGGAAAGTTACAGTGAAGTTGATAAAACAACTTTCCCACACATCATTTCTCAGTCAAACCTCAATTATCAAGGTAGAAAATTTTTACTTTACTTCTACCCACAAAATCCAACAAGGTTTACCAGAATTGTTCATTGGTCTCCAGACAGCATACTTTGCCACCACATTGAAAACTCAGTAACTGCAAGCTAAGAATACCTAATTTAAAATTAGCTTAAGAAAAAAAAACTCAGAAGCTCAATTCTGATTCCTTTCTCCCAAAAAAAAGGTATTCAGGAAAAATACATTACAAACACAAACATAAAGGGATTTCAGAAATTATCTCTGCCCCTTGCACAATTGTGTGAGTGTTCTCAGGTTCCGTTAAACATGTGTTGGATGAAGGGTATTGGATATCCAAGAAGGCCACACCAGATATAGCCATGAAAGACATGAAATTTGTAACTAGGAACAATAGTTCTGGAAAGTACCATCAACTTAAGTGCTTACAGGCCACAAACAAGTAAATAAAAATAAAGGAAGGCAATCTGATAGAGATGACAAATGACAACTGCTCCCAGACATAGGGGAGAAAATGTAAGACAGAGTATCCATTCCCAATCTAAAAGCAATTTCTGTGATCTCAGCCCAGCTATCACATGCAACAAAAATTCTAAAGTCATGTTATTTCACACACAAAAAAGATGTTAAGCAGATTTTTCTGAGATTTTTAGAAACAAACAAACGCTGGCAACCAATTCGGATGCAAAACACTCTACTGACCAAACAGTATGGATGGAACCAGACCATTGGGAAATAATTTACAATTTACAGGGTAGACAAAAGAGAGACGGGAAGCGTACTGGGCCAGAGAAGTAACAAAAGAAAGACCAACTAAAATTCAGACAGAACAGGTGTGACAGAAATCTGCCCGAAAGGTCTGACAAGTCGGCTCGATAATGAACTCCCCTGAGAGAGAAGGGCGAAGGACGGAGGCCAGGGCAGAGGCAGCCCTAAGTAGGAAAGTGCTTAGGGAGCACCTAAGTGAGACCTGGGGCGAGAACCACTATGGAGACTGGCCACGGAAGTCTGCGGCGCTTCGGCGCCCGCGGGGCCGGGGCTGTGCCTGCTACCTGAAGCCGCGGGGGTCTCGGTTCCTCCGGGGCTGGGGCCAGAGAGGTCGGAGGCCCCCGACCTCTTCTCTCGCCCTGTTACTGCGCCGCGGAGAAGGGCTCCATTGCCCGGGGAGGGGGCTGCAGTGGCCCGTCCGCGGGCACGGCCTCGGCCACCGGCCACCTGGCGCCAGGAAGCTTCCATCCCTGCAGAGGAAAAATAAACGAGTGGAAGGAGTGTGAGCGCGGCGGGGTGGGAGGAGGACGGGCACAGTGGGGAAACGACGTGTGAGGGGCTGCGCACAGGGCTCCCCGCAAGGGACTAGTAGGTGGGGGTGAGCAAGCCGCGGCCCAGTCTCTCCCACAGGGCGAGTTTCCGCGAAGCCCGGGCTCTGGAGAGGGACCGAAGAGGGAGACGACTAGGTAGAGAAATGGACCACGGGGCAGAGAGCACTTAGCGCAGGAGAGGAAGTGTCGGAAGACGGCAAGCGCTTCCTCAGCCTCAGGGAGAGGGCGGCTAAGGAAAACCTGCACATTAACCCAGCGGCCCCCGTCGTGAATCTTCTGCAGTAACGGACCCCACCGAAAGATATGTATCCTTACCGACGGCGCCTGCCCCCAGTGACTACAACTCCCAGAAGCCCCTGCCCGCAGCCCGCAGAACGCGTGGCAGCGAGAGCACCTTCCTCATCCGGAGGAGCCCCGGGAGGGGCAGAGGAGACTCAATGCGCGTGCGCAGGCTGGAGGCTTCGGTCCTTTGGAGAACTACAACTTCCGGCATGCTCTGCGGCTCAGGAGACGGCTTCTCTACAACAGGACAATCTCTGGGGCGGTGCTCTTGACCCTCTGTGCTCTTCATCTATCAAACTTCCCCAAACTCAGCTGTGTGTCAGGATTTCGCCGGGTGGCCTCAGTCGGCCTTCTGCTGTCTGTAGCCTTGCTTGGGGTTTGCGGATGACGGGAAGATTCTCACTGGCTGGAAGAGCACGGAAAACGAAAATATTTCGGAGTAGGGTGCTGTGAAGAGGGAAGGAAAGCTGGGGGAAAGTTGCAGGATGTAGACCAAGCTGAGAAAGCGCCCTTCTGAATTGCTACAGCGATGCAGAAAATTTAATGCCTGTCATTACCGTAGTCCTTTATAGTTTACAATGAGCTTTTCCTTGAGCCGGCCGATTTTTACCTTCAAGGGCGGCCTAGGGTAAATTTTATTAAGGAAGATAGTTCAGAATAAGGACCTAAATTTTTTGACTGCTGAACTTTCCAATAAAATACATAGATTTCAAAAATATATTTGGGGGTCTGGCTGGGATTGATAAATACACTGGTTGTTTGTAATAATTCCCCAGTCATAAATATTTACATAGCATTTGCTAAGTGCCGGGTACTGTTCAAGGTGAGATATATATATATATGGTAATTTAGTACTTGATAACCCTTTTAATATCCCCATTTTACCCCTACGAACAGGGGTATGAAGACATTAAATAACTTACCTTTAGACATTCAGCTAGGAAGAACTGAAACCAAGCTTGAAACATAAGTAGTCTTGATTTACTAGAAACCATGCTGTTAACGTCTTACACATACATACTGCAGAATTGCCTGTACATTATCCAAACTTTAACATGTCCTGAGACTAAACTTAATTGGGTAGAAACCAAAAGGTTCAGAGGGAGGAAAGCTGGGGGACAATTGCAGGAAAGTAGTAGCTACAGTTGAGAAAGTACCCTTCTGAAGTGCAGAAACTCTCTTAAGGCTGCACTTGTGTAAAGAGAACTTTTAGCTTAAAGGTGCATCTAGCATCAATAGTTTAGAAAGTCTAAAGTTATACTTTTCAACAGCGGTGTTGTCAGATACAGGGAAGGAGTTAATTGAAAGAGAATCTGGCGATTATCACTGAGTAATGTCCAAGAAATACTGAGTGGCTACTAACAAGGAAGATTCTGCTTAGAACCGTATGTGCCAAAGATGTGGATGAACATATGGTCCAACTCTATGCCAAACCTTCATGAAAATAAATTTCTTCCATTCTCCCAAATATTTAATAGTACTTTCCGTACACTTGCATTCTTTTTGCTTTTACATGCTTTTTTTTTTTTTTTTGTACCAGGGATCAAACTTGGGACCTTGTGCTTGGGAGGCAGGCGGCCGAACCACTGAGCTAAATGCCCAGCCTCTACATTCTAATATTAGCAACAACCCATGCTGTAGTTATTGTTATTCAAACCATATAGAAAATTAGGAAATAAAGGGACAAAAAAATTGTCTTATTCAGCATCCTAGGTTTGCAACCTGGTAGTGTGACTCTTGGCATATACTCTTACCACCATGCTATATCGTGATGGTGTAGCTGTATTTGACATTTACTTGAAGATTTCAGTTATTAGAGCATCTAAACAGGCAAAAAGCTCATATAGTCAGAATTTTCCCTACCATATTGTATAATGAACTTTAAAATTTTTATTTTTGTTAATATGTTTGCAGCACATAATGATTACATTCATCATGGGGAGTTGGTACATGTACATAACACATCTTAATTCTTTTTCCATGCCCTTGCCCTCTTTTCACTTTGGAATCAAAAAGACTCATATCAGCTAAATGAGAAGACATTTATATTGTGACTATAATTTTTTTCAGTGTAGAGTTAGTGTATACATTATGTGGAAATACATGTAAGTGGAGCACACATTTTCAAAATTTTCTATTGCAATCTTTTTTACTTTGAAATTTCAGGTAACATTTAGGGGAAATGTGTTCTTTGTTAACATTGGGGTAAAGGTTGAGAAATACAACCACACCCATAATTAATTTTAATTTTTTAAAAACTGTACTGACAAGAATAGCTAAAGATGAAAAATGAAAATATCAAGGGGAGGCAAGGATGTGGAGCAACTGGAACTTTATACTGTTTAGTGGGAGTGGAAATTTTTTCAAACACTTTCAAAAATATTTGGTAATGGGCACCCAGAAGGAAGCTCCCCTGCCACCATCCCAAGCTCCTAGGGCAGAGAAGCTGAGCCCCTCGGGCACCAGAAGCACCCCCCCTCCGCCCCGTGGAAATGAGAAGACATGTAAACAAGTCTCAAAAACAGACTTCTGGATCGCCTACAGCAACCCCAAAGGGAACCGCGATGGAACAATCTGATACTTAACCACCTGGACTCTCTGAACTGGCAACAAAAGAAGATCTGGGAAAAATGAAATTAGAAATAATTACTCAGATAACAGCAAAGATTTTGCTCATGGTGCAAGACATGATTAATAAACCTAGAGAGGACACAGATAAAAAAATAGAGGATCTGAGGAACATGATGGAATCCCAACATAGGAAACAAATGGAATCCATAAAACAGATGCAAACAGATTTCCGGAGATTAAAAACTCCATCAAAAGTCTGCGCAGCAGAATGAACCAATGTGAGGATAGAATTTCAGATATAGAAGAAAAGATTGCAATTAGTGTCCAGGAAAAGAAAAATTGCTTTAAAATTATAAAGGAACATGAGAAACCAATCCAGCAGCTGCTAGACGATGCAAAGAAGAATAACGTAAGACTGATTGGAGTCAATGAAGAAAGAGGAGAGAGTGCAGATGACATAAAAAAACTGTTCACAGAAGTGATGGCAGAAAACTTCCCAAGGAGGGGAAAAGAACTTGACATACAGATAAACGAGGCATATAGGACTCCAGCTAGCCTTGATCAAAAATATTTGATAATATCTACCAAAGTTAGACATGACCTATTACTAAAGCACTTTGTTTAAGAAATTCCAATTCTGGATATAAGTATCCAAAAGAAAGTGCTCCACAAAATCTCATGCTCAGAGCAGTTGTAGTCAAAATAGCACAAAACTAAAAATGACTGGTCTTAGTCTGTTTTCTGCTGCTATAACAGAATACCTGAAATTGTACTCATCTTGAGTTTTCTGGATAGTTATAAATGATGAGCAATTTATAAATAATAATGATTTATTTTCTACAGTTATGGAACCTAAGAAGTTCAATATCAAGGTCCTGGCATCTGGCAAGGGCTTCCCTGCTGCATGATGATATGTCATGTGACATCACAAGGCTACAGAGCAAGTACACAACCTCAAGTCTCTCTCTTCTTACATACCCATTAGTTCCATCATGAGGACCCCACCCTTTTGACCCCATCTAACTATACTTCCTAAAGGCCTACCTTCAAATACCATCAATATGTTGAATTTGGGGATTTTAAGTTTCCAATTCATGAACTTTTGGGAGTTACATAGCACAACTCTACTATCATCCATAGGAGAATAGAAAAGCAAACTTTGATCTATTCATATAATAGAATACTATTTAAAAAAAAAAACACCTGACCTATGTAGCAAGATGGGTGAATCTCAAAGATACTATGTTAAACAAAAGAACCAGACAACACAGTACTTGTGATCCTATCTTTTTTTCTTTTTTTTTTTTGGTACCAGGGATCGAAATCAGGTCCTTGCATTTGCAAGGCAGGCAGCAGAATCACTGAGCTAAATCCCCGGCTTGTGATCCTATCTTTATGATGTTCCTGGACAAGTGCTAGAAGCCAGATTACTGCTTACCTCTGGTGGAGGCAGGAGGACCTTAACTATGAAGAGAAAATAGGGATCCTCCTGACTGGTGGAAATATTCTATCCTGATCTGAGTAATAGTTTCACTAGTGTCTACAGAGGTAAAAACAAATTACACTGTACATTTATGATTTGTGCAATTTACTATATGTACATTTTACCTCTTTTTTAAAAAAAATTCTAAAGTAGGTAGGGAATAAAAACAGGGTGTCTGAGTATCCAGCCATTTGAAATGTGGTTTCATTATATGTATTTGTCCATCACTGATATATGTCTGGACACAGATTGTTTCTACTGGAGCACCTGCACACAACTCCCCCAGACACACTTATCCTCTACAGGTACATCTATATTCAGGTAAACTATTCCAGTTATCCATTTACTGCCTCTCCACTCCAAATCACATTTTATGTTTTGTGGTCATAAACAGAACTCTTCTGTTCCGGAAATCATGGAAAGAAATACACAGAGACACAGAATTTGGGTAAAATAACAAAGGCTTTACTTGCAAGCTGGTGGGACCACCAGAAACTGGTCTGATCAGTGTCCGAGCCACGTTATTTGTTAGTCACCCTTTTATACTTTTGTTAGTCATTATCTCATCCCTAGTGGTCTTTGTTGAGTAAATAAAGTTCCAGTTCCTGTTTAATGGTTAGACACAGGTGGTTTCTGTTACTGATTACAGTCCTAAACACATGACAGTTAAGGCACATATATCACAAGCTTGCCCGAGCATTGCAACTTTGTTCTTCAGAGTTAGGATGTTATCTATAGTAGAGCTACAGATCAAAGGAGCTATATAAGCTTTACTTTAAACAACAGAAGCAAAGGGCTAAGGCAAGCTTTTAAAGGGATACACTACCTATTTTGCTTCTACAACTACTTTAAGAGTTAATCTACTAAGTAGTCTAAAACTTTTTCCCCATCACTTCAACATTGCCACAGAAAGTACAGTGCTAAGTTTTCTCAATAGAAGATGTCAGACAGATATTGCAGAAGGAAGCATGCTTCTGATATTTCCAGATGTTATACAAATCAATGATCTTATGGCCTTGGCTGGTCTGGCCTGGCAAAAACTTTCCCACACAGCCTTTTCAGCAGACTGACCAAGGC